TATATATATGAAATTAAAAAAAACCAGCAATAGGTCTTTGAATGAGATAAACTATTGCAATACATACTAAACGTGTCATGTACAAATTCCCTTTAATTCATAATTTCAATAAATATCTTATCCTCAGTGTGTATCATGATAAAATGTATAAATATGAAACTATTAGACATATATTTATTATCATTGCTCCCAGCATCCACAGCTAATCTGCATAATTTTTTCCTTCACTTACAATTCTATGTTCATGGGTTTGGAATATGTTATGTAATTAACCACTAACATCCTTAACACATATTTGAGGGAATATCTGGTGATGGGTAATAACATATCCTTTTAATGCTTATCCGTGTGTGACCTCCTGAGTTTTTATGATTTTGGGAAAATTTGTTTGCAAACTAATTCTATGTATTGTACTTTAAGCTACGATGCAGATCAGCATAGGTATTTTCACGATAAAATATTTCCTCAGAGAATACAACTTATTAAATCGAACAGTTGTATTCCAATTATATTTGAAAATCTCTTTTAAACATTATATTATGAAAACATTCCATATTATATATAGATTCCATATTACACAATTTACATACACATAATATTAATACATGGTCAATTTTTTAACGCTTTTTGTTCTGTTAGTAAAACCTTATCTTGTACTTGCACAAAGTCAAACATGTTTTAAGGTGATGTCCAACAAGATTATAAGAAGTTATGCCCTTAACACCGATAACTCTGTAATTAACAAGCATGAAGATCTAATTAATATAAACGCTTCCATGAAATCAAAAACTGAAAAATCTAAGGAATCTAAAGACAATAAATCATTGCACTCAGATAATAATGTATCTACTGATGTTTTAAAACAGTATAAATGCCAAGCTAAAAATTCAAAAAATCTTAAAAAAGAAAATGAGTGTAACGTGTTAAAAATGGACGACTTGAATATCATAGAAAAATGTGATGTGATAGACGTTAAAGAGGAAGATATTAATTTTTGTAATGATACAGTTAATACAAAGTGTACTTCCAAAGAAGTTAAAGAAAAGAAAAACAAGGCTGATACAAGACATAGAAATAGAGGACAAAACAAAGATAATATTAAGGAGAAAAAAGAACAATTGCCTAATAAGGTATTAACTTTATTGCGTTAGACAATTAGTGTTATATGTGTATAAATGGCACTCTTTATTTTTATTTAGCGCAATCACATTTTTAGGTTAGTCATTTTAGTTAATATATTATTTTATTATGCTTATTAAAATTTTTTATTTTTTAAAGCAAATTTACATCTTCATATATGCTAACTTACCCATTTAAAATAAAAATCTAATAAAAATATGCATTTCTCTAATCTTATAAGGAATTGATCATTCTTTTGAAATTCATTGTAGATGTCTTACCTGACGTATCTCATTATTAGTTTTATTTATTTATTTATAATTTTGATTCGTATTGGCTTATATTTATTTAAAAAAAAGCATGATTGCATTACAAAATTTATCTACATTTGCATGTAAAAAGTATTGATGATAAAAATGATATTTAAGTATTAAACTGATAATAATTATTAGAAACAAATTAGATTTAGTAAGTATTCAAGATTTTCTGCCGATGGATATCTATGGGATTTAACATAATATAGCTATTTTTAGTGCTTGCTTGTACTTATGCATAGAAATTGTTTGTAATGCTTTTTGTTGTGATTTTATAATGTCTATCTCCACTTGATCAACGATAAAATTACATTGTTATATTCTTGAATAAATCAATAGTACTTTTGTTTAATCATAAAATATATCAATGGAGATATGATATAGATTGGTTTGCTTTAATCAACCTGGTGTAAATTAACCTTCAATATCGGTGGATATAGGGAAGCCATCAATCAAATTGTTCAATCCTACCCGCTGGTGGAAGTTTGGCCAATGAAGTTGCCAAGGCACGTCAACATATTAAAAAATCTTTACAATGTGTGAGTACAGCACTCATTTATCATATAGTAACAAATTTTTATGTTTATCAAAATAATGCATTTTCGTGACCGCTTATAATTGTAACATGTATTTATTAGTCAAGTGCATATAATATAGTTTTTATTTAATGCCTAGCCAGCTTAAGCAGATGACACATACACACATACAAGTCTTTATTTCATTTAGTCTCATTAGAAAATGTTTCTTATATTGATGCTTTATTAGTTACATTTTTTTCCTTACACACGTGATTAAGATATGTTAAAGACTTCGAAATCAATTTTATAATACGTTATTTCAATTTGAATAAAATTTATATTTTATTAAGATTTGATAGGAAAAATTATATTTAAAAATTATTCTTAATACAGTTAAAAATATCTTAATGTTATAAAAAAAAATTAGCTCCATAGTCAATTTCTAAATAAATTTACAGATGGATGACATTGCTGCATTTACCGAAATATCAAATTCCAATCAAGATGTTGGATCACGAATAGCTTCTCTCGAGAAAGACAATCAAGATTTACGAAATGGTAAGAACGAACTGAATTTTTACATTTGAATTCTCTAAACTGATATTTATTATATTTGATAAGTATTATGTATTATAAAAAGAAATATAAGATAGGTATGAGTTAGATTTAATAAATTTTATTACCTGTAATAAATACAACGTTTAAACAATAATTCATATTATTTTAACAAACTTTATATATAGTCGTTCAAGAATTGAGACATATTATTGAAAAACTGGAAAAACGCGTTAATGTTCTTGAAGAAGAAAAACCATCACTTCCACCTTTACAAATTTGTCCTGCTAAACCCAGTGAGATGATAGAAAAGCCATCACCCAAAGAAGAAGATGACGAAGATCTTGATCTATTTGGTTCAGATTCAGAGGCAAGTGAGCAGATGGAAATAAAATAATTCATAAGTTTGTTACATATAATAATTGTATATACATACATATGTTCGATATTATTTACTAATAGAAATACTAACACTTTACTCAGCACATTCTTTAAGCCACAAAAACATGGAATGCTTCTTTAATTTTAATTTTCAGTATCTTTAAAAACAAAAACAAAAACAAAAAAAAATATTTATATATTAATATATAATATCGCGTATTTCTACTAATCAGTATACACCAGATATTCCCAAGACACTAATATCAACCATATAAAATCAACCATTTCTTACCATTCTTGACACAAATTTCAATACAAATTGTGGTAATTTATTAACGGAATTATTTCACGAGATAAATTATAATCACCAATCCCATCAATTTCTAACTTATTAGGGTGAAGATGCAGAAACTGCTAAAATTAGAGAAGAACGTCTTGCTGCATATGCTGCTAAAAAGGCCAAAAGTGAGTTGAATACATCTTTTTTTAAGTTCAATTATTTTATAATTATCTAATGTACTTTTTATCAATAGAACCGGCATTAATTGCGAAATCAAATATCATATTTGATGTTAAACCATGGGACGATGAGACTGATATGAAAGATATGGAATGTAAAGTACGCAAAATTGAGACAGATGGATTACTATGGGGCGCAGGTAAGTGCGATGAGTTACTTAATTACAATTTTACATGATTTCAAAATATTTCTTTTTAAATTTATTTCTATATCAGTCTACATTAACGAGACATCTACGGCTTTATTTTCACAGCTAAGCTTGTACCACTTGCTTTTGGTATTCATAAACTTCAAATTTCTTGTGTTGTGGAGGACGAAAAAGTATCAGTTGATTGGTTAACTGAACAAATACAAGAAATTGAAGATTTAGTCCAGAGCGTTGATATTGCCGCTTTTAATAAAATCTAATTTTATTTTGGGGCAAATGTTATGGCAAGTATAGTTACATAGAAACATGGATTTGCTGTGCCATCTTTTCATTCCATTAGCAATTCCAATATGCACGTGTATACTTATTCAATGCTAGACGTGAAAATACTTAAAAAAAAAAAAAAAAAAAAAATATTTCACTATAGAAATGCTCATAGTAAACTTGAAATTATCAAATCTTCCTATTAGATTTTTATCTCATATTTCTAGCTTGATTTATTCAAAACAATTAAAATTATCTAAATAATCTCTATTAAAAGTTCGAAATAATAAAAATTATATAGAATCAATCGAAAGATAAATTTATAAACTAGAAAAATGACATTTTGATATCAAATGTTTTTTTAAATAAAATCTAAACCATGCAACATATACACTTCAGTCTATTAAAAATTATTATACTCAGTTATTATATTTTACAATAAAATTTATTGATAAAAAGATTTTGGAAATATCCAATCCATATGAAAAATGAAATACCTTTTTCGTGGCCATGATATATGCAATTATAATTTATTTTTCAATAATATTTTAGTTCTCTCAGCTCCAATGAAAACAAAGTTTTATATAAATATTTATTACATTAATGTACTTCCTGTTTCATGTTATCATTGCAAATAAAATCAATGACACAAACATAATCCATCTCTTTTATATTTTAACCTCCAAATTTATATATATGGATAAGTATATATAAATATAAAAAACATAAAATTATAATGTAAAAAGAACTTCAATAATTAGAAAAATTACCTGCTTATTGATTTAGTATACTTGATTGTATAAGTCTTAATATATATTTCCTTAGATTAACATTAATTATTATTATAATTATTATTATTAACTCTTATATATTTGTTGAAACAAAAACGAAATAATAAAATTTAACTAGAGAAGAAAGAACAAAATTATATCAAGATGCCAGAGTTTCATTAAAAAATCTTAAATTGTTTTTAGGAAAGTAATGTTGGTCAGACTGTTACTAGTTTTCGATCCAGTGTTGTATGCGATATTGTTGTCGAACGTGTTTGTTTATTCTCTTTTTAAGGAAGAAATAATTTTATTTCGTCAAAATGACTATGGCTATGTTGCAACGACGAGCCAATGTAAATATTAAAATATAAATAAATAAAATAAAATGATTAATTTATTTAAAATGCATATTTGTTTAAAGAAATGTAACTTAACCTATAAATGTACTTATACATTTCTTAAAACTATTGATTCTATTTTACAGGTAAGGCTCCCACCTGAAGTAAATCGAGTTTTATATATCAGAAATTTACCTTACAAGATCACAGCTGAGGAAATGTACGATATTTTTGGTAAATATGGAGCAATTAGACAAATCAGAGTGTAAGTATCCGTTTAAACTTTAAAGTGAAATTTTTTACTCTTGTAACAATTAGAAAACATTATTTATATCTTTTATTTTACAATAGTGGTAATACAGCTGAAACTAGAGGAACAGCATTTGTCGTTTATGAAGATATCTTTGATGCTAAAAATGCATGCGATCATCTCAGTGGTTTCAATGTATGTAACCGCTACCTAGTGGTCCTCTATTATCAAAGTAATAAGGCATTCAAGCGAGTAGACGTTGATAAGAAGATGGAAGAGATAGATAAGTTAAAGACGAAGTATAATTTGAATGAAGAGAAAAAATAACTGCCTGACGTACCTCTGCATACGAAATATTATATACATTCTGCGATCATTCTTTTGCGACAAGAACAATACAAAGAAACAGTATCATGTATGTAAATATAAGTTTAATTCTAATTGTCAACAGAGCCTTACCTCGTTGAAAAACTAGTTCCCGTTCGATTACTAAAATTAAATAATGATGAACATGAGAAGTACTCAGATTAATGTCTGCCTCGAAACACTGTGTGCTATTGACACTTAGGGAGGTATTAGAGATGTTAGAAAATATTGTTAAGGGTGCTCAAATCTATAAAAAGGAGAATAATAAAGACAAAAGTTTCATTCTAATCATAAAGTTTAAATTATAAGTCTTATCTCGTAATTTAGTATTTACAAAAGAAAATAAAAATATAATAATTATAAACTATATAAATGTAAATATAGGATTCTATATTATCTATCTAATTGTAAGATCTAAGAAATGAATGTGTAAAAAGATATCAGTTGAAGATATTTGTATATCAAACTTAAATGGTTTTATTATTCATTCTTACAAAGATTTAAAACCTTGTTTTATAATTTATAAAACTTTAACAGTTCGTCATGGAATAATATACATGTATGTCATAATTACACATCTATCTACATACTTTTTAAATATTTAGAATCGTTTCTTATATCGATATATTAATTAAACAAACATGATCGATTCTTTAAATTTACCAAGAATAATATAGCCTTGTTTTATATATATCATGCATACATACACATATAAATACATTTCATCCAAATACCAGTCGACAGGTGATCATGACATTGAGTATATCGACTTTCAATGGCAATAAATTTTTCTCAATGAACGTATAGTATGTTATCACATAATGGATTCGACTTTTTCTATTTCAAGACAAGCCTTATCTAGGTATAAGGAGTTAGATAATGTCGCATGTAAATACGTTGTAATAATAGAAGGGACACGCGTGCGCGCAAGAGGGGTGAAGGGGATTGCAGAAAAGTGGGTGGGTGGTTTGGTACGGGGAGGAAAGGGAGGGAAGAGAAAGAAAGAAAGAGAGAGAAAGAGAGAGAAGGGGAGGCAGGTCAGGGCAGGCTGACAGCAAGTCGACGTTCGATTTCAGTCGAAAGCGAAAAGCCGTCAAGTCCGTGCACGGTCGCCGGACTACCGGCTTGTTCGCGAGAAAGTGCGCATGCTTAACGTCTCCGTGTCGCGTCGTCGTCCTCCGCGCGTCCAAATGTCATACGAGTGCTGCGGCGACGGCAAGGTCGCCGGCGACAGTCTCGTCGCCGCCCTCTCGGAGCTCTTCGCCACCCTCTCAGAGCTCTTCACCTTCTCGCATACTTTTTGCCGCGAGATCCTTCTGGCCCTGAGCTCAAGCGGCATTCTTTCTTCCTTCTCCTCCTCCTCTACTATTACTACTACAATTACTACTATTAATACTACTGCTACTGCTGCTACCACTACCTCTTCCTTCACCTCCCCTTTCCCGTCTTTTTCCTATTTCTTTTTTTTCCCGTCACCCTTGCCAGATTCTTCTAATTCTAATTCTATATCTACATCGATTTTTTCTATTCCCTCCTTCAATATCGACAATCTCTCCGTTATCTTTATGTCCTTGCTTCTCACCTTCGTCCTTGCCATCGTCCTCGTTCGTTCTCTTCTTCATCGTTGCCGTCGTCGTCGCGCTGTCTAGAGATTCTAGAGTCCCAAGCAAACACACACCAACAAGGGGTACGACTGATGGCCTATCATCACCGCTATTTTTTAATCCCTCTCTTCTTCTACTTCTTTACTTATTATGTATATATACACTGCCCTCCCACTCCTACATTGTACTCTCTCTTTCGAGCAAAATGGCGGACATATCTCTAGTCCTCTATGATGTAGCGCCTCTAACTAACGTTTGTTTGGTGGCGCCGCCAACTTACTCTGTCCCCTTATTGGTTAATCGTTTACTTACAAATTATCGCGCGAATTCGTATTGTAAACTCGAATGCTATAACTTTGTAAATTTATTCTGTTATTATTTCCGTCTATTTTTATTTTCTTTATGTTTACTATTATATTTCTTTGACTGTATTAAGCTTAGAATTAATTAAGAGTAATAATAGCTATTGTTGTAGTATGATTAGCTTAAATTAAAGGAATAAGAAAATGATATTAATTGTATTCTGTAGATCGATTACATCATACTTTCCCACCAACGTCGTCGACTATTTCCTTATTGGTCAATTTCCTTCGAAACGTCTTATTTCAAATATGTCCGCATTTCGTTAATGCCGGAGGAGAGGATTGACGAGATTGTATTTATACGATCGTAACAGATCAATTAGAATCGCGTATAACGTATCGAACAAGTTAATTATCAAGAATCAAGTTCCTTGTACTTATAATTAGATCACGATGATCTTAATTAATAATAAGAATCGAGAAAATTGGCCTATGCACGTTACTTCGTCACAACGTCTGCTGCCATTAATTCGTCCAGCAAATTTGTAAGTTGCTGAATATTATTTTATTTTATGTATACAATTAATCAGTTAAACAATCAATTAATTAATTATATGTAATTCTCATCAATTTTTAGATTATAAAATACATAAAAAAAAAATGAATTGATTTTCTATTCACAAAGTTATGTTAAAATGAAATAAAAAGCAAAGACAAATTAATGTATTCGTAGAAAAAAATAGAAACGAACAATATTAAAGTAGCCGTTTCTAATATGTGCATGTAAATGTATTAGAGTTTGGTAATAGAGAGCTTTGTAGAAATGAACGAACGCGACAGGTGTTCGGTACATGCTGAAGAGCATGTTTGTCTGCCGTCTGGATAAATACGATGCGATACATACTTTCGCGCTTAAGTACACACAAATGCACACACGTGAACGAAGAAGAAGAAATTAATGCCGAGAAAAGAGAACAAAATTAAAGCTCTTTCGATTCATTTTTATGTAGAGCAAATAAAAAATGATTCATCGTTATTATCGGTATCAATAAACTCAAAAATTTATGTATAATACATAGGATGAGCCAAAAGTTTCTAAGTGACTTAAAAACTCAATAAATTTTTTTCAATAACATTTTACACTCTCATGTCAATTAGGTTTGTACACAATATCAGAAGAAAATATTCTGGAAAAGTATAGCATAAAAAAGTAATATATTTAACAATAATATTTAGAAATTTTTGATCCATCCTGTATATATAATATATAACATTATCTACATATACTTAAAAATATAAATTATCAATCTTGACAGAAATATCTTCTTATTTAAAAAAAAAAAATAAAAAATAAAATTTGTTAATACGTAACGCGAACTAATTAATATAAACCGTAAAACAATCAACAATACAAAGCACGAAAAAATTTGAAAGAAAATGTTGGCGTTCGTTGAAAAAGACTTTCATTCTCTGTTTCTTGATTTAACCGTCTATTTTCGTATCGTACGAAATCGCGTTAAGAAACGGAAGTCATAGGGAGCCTTCCACGTGTTCCTCCAGTCTTTCTTTTTCTTTATCTTTCTCTCTCTTTCTTTTTCTCTCTCTCTCTTTTTAGAATACATCTTTGTTGCCGATACACATTCGGTACGTTTATTTCTGCTTCTTTAACAGTCTATACACGTAGTTTCAGGGCTCGGCTCGACTTCGAGTTCCGTGAGGAGGAGAGCTCACCGTTCCGTGAGTCCTCTCTCCCTCCTCCTCCTTCTCCTCCTCCTCTTCATCTTCCTCCTTTTAGTAGGCTCTCTCTTCGTGGGAACTCATTAATACGAGGACATAATCGTGCAAACATACCGCGATCGATTCGCCGATCGTATACTGATTTCTAAGAGATACCTCGAAATGGCTATCGATTCCAGAATTTAGATTCGTTCGATTTGCCAAAGCTTCGAGAAGACTTTATGTGTCTTATTACATATATACATACATATATTACATATGTATATAGACATTCCTATTTGTATTCTATTTAGATAAATTCTATCTATCTTTGTATATGGTATGTTTAACCCGTGAATATATATTTCTTGTTTATCCAAGTTTAAAACAGTTTATTCCATTTATATGTATCAATCGTTGCGAAAGAAACGAATACGAGTAAACTTTAATTTCATTTGTTAAATTTTACCATTTAATTTATAGATGATTTAATTGTCTTTTCTTTTTTTTTTAATTATTGATAACCAATTTGATATTCTCTAATATTTAATTAATTTATTAAACTTTATCATGGATTTTTAGAGATAATAATAATTTTTTTCGTAGATAAACGAAATTTTCTTATAAATCGTTGCAATTAAATGAACATAATCAACTGTGCGTTAATTTGAATCGTCAAATTTAGAAATTAATTTATAAATAATTATAAATTTAATCTTTCACGTCCCGATAGAATATTTGTTTATTATTTAGTTCGAATAGGAATATTATGAGTGTGTGTGTATTTATATTCGTTATATAAATTTCTCCTTTTAGAATGAACGAATTGATTGGTAGTTGAGTTACCTCTTTTTGCCTATGCTTCTCAGCTATGAACGTGGACTGCTGATTGAAACGTCGATCGCGGAAGTTCTATTGCACGTCCGTTCTGCCTCCCGCTCGTGTTGCGCGCCATCGAAATAATAAAATGTCGGCGAACGACTTCTGCACCCGCTGGAACTTTACGGTCAGTCTTATCGTGTTTACGGCACTACTCCTCGTAAACCCACAACTCCTTCGACCCTTCTACAATTTTATTTTTCGAATAGAACTAAGACGAATAACCAACGCAACCATGAACGTTCTTCTCAAGTTCGTTCTTTCGTGCAAACGTCACATACATTTTTTCCTTTTTTTTTTTTTTTTAATTAAATTAAACACATTTAGCAATTTTTCTTATGTAAAAACATTATTATTATCGATATTAGAATAATATATAAACATACATGAATGGGTTGATAATTTTTGAGCCTAACATAGAAACAATGTATCTCGGTCAATTCCATTTTTATTTAAAAAGGAAAATGAACGTTTTTTTTTGTTAAGGCTTAGAACATCTCATTATGATAATAATAATTCGTATATACGTATAGATAAATAATATTAAGACGAATAATATTACATAAAAATGTGTATTTATTTTCACAGATGGTGTGCTCTTTCCTCGTCAAGGACGAGCAATGTGGTGAGTTTTGGTTTATTTTTCTTAAATATATATTTTCATTTGAAATTACACAAAAAGAAAAAATAAAATAGATTCCGTATTTTGTTCGTAATCGAAACAAACGAGAGGAAAGGAAAAACGAATGATAAGGGCAATAGAAGAGTTATTATCGTTAACTCGTTTTTTAGTCAGATATTCGATAAAATTATTTTTGATTCGATCAGAAAATAAAAGAGACAGATAGAGATAGAAACAGACACGAGTTATCACGTAATAATAAAATCCTGCACGTATCCTCGCATTAAAAGCGATAAGAAAACGAGTACGAGGTTTTCCACGCTTCTTTTAGCTTTCACGTAATCCTTGTTATGCTTATCGCTATCGTCACGATAACGCAGCATCATGCCAAACAAGTATACGTTATTTAGACTGACAGATCGTACAACTTGTATTCGTCATTTAAATGAGATTAGATTATTTACACATTTATATAGATATGCATATATATGTTTTGTAAAAGTTTCTACATAAATATAAAAATCAATTAATTTAGTTTTGTAATTATTTAAGGCTCGTGTGTTTTCTTTCGATTAAAATATTATAAGTTTCATTTGTAAAATTATATACGAGCTAAACTGTAAAGATAAAAAGAATAATTAATTTTAAATCAAGACTTAACTTTTAGTTTATCTAAACATTTTTAGCTCACCTTGTATGTAAATAGTGCATACAATATCTAATGTTATTACGTCGATAGACGTTCGTTTTTTCTTGACATTAAAAAAAAGAAAATATCATGTTATAATATTATAGTATCATACTATAATAACGAATATATCGATATCTTGTATTTTATTTTATTTTTATTTTTTTTTCATTTAGTAAGTAAGATAAATATGTGAAAAAAATATGATGAAGGCGTTCATCAATGTAAACTCGAAATATGCCATCTTAGTTGTAACGAGGTCATCGCGCATGCGATGATACATCAATGATGATGTCGAGATGTTCCACTCGTGTTCTCTTTATTTGCCTGCGTTACTTTTAGGAGATATTATAGACTCTATCGAGGATCATTTGTCTTCATCGTCACTGTCATTTCTTTTCATTTCGTTCCATTATCGAATGAAACGAGAACCTCTGTCATTCCGTTCTATTTAATGATATCGACGTGTCCATACAACATGCATACGATGAATCTTATCGTCTTTTACAACGAAGATACTCACGTTGAGTACATTGAACCTGTGTGTGCAATTTCTTCGATAATTATACAGAATACTATTCGCTTATGTTTCATTATTTTCTTACAATGACAGAAAATTTGTTACTTTTACATTTTGTCGAATTTATATATCGCCTATATTCAGTCAAACGTCACTAACTAACATATTTTATGCTAATCTGATTTATTGCTCGTCAAATCAATTTTTAATGGGAAAAATTATATTTGGATTAAAGTATGCTTTTTCTTAATTCTTTCGCACATTACTATTGATAATTTTTATGGAATAAAGAAAAAAGAAAATGTAATTAATGATTTTTGACCGAACATAGACGAAATATATTGTAATATTCGTAGATTATCTTTAAAAGATTTAATAAGATTAAACAAATTGAATCTGTATTACAATTAGATTCATATCAATGTTACATTTTTTAAATACCCGTAAAATTTTTATAGATTTGATAGATTGATTTCTTCTTGAGCTAATAATATTCAAAGATTATTTTCGAAAATTTTGCAAAATTCAACGTATCGAATTATTCTTATGTTAGTTTCATATCAATGATCTATAATTAAAATAAAATACATTTTTCTTACAATTAAAATATAATCAGAGAATATAATAATATTTGTGTTAAACATTTGACAATAGATAATACAATTTTTTGATTTATTAGATTAGAAAAAAAAAAGGAAGAAGAAAAAATTATCGCAAATGGTATTGTCAGAAAGCACGAATGGAATCGTCAAGAAACCACGAATGAAATCGACAGGAGGACCGATTTCTAAAACGAAAGAGAGAGCAAGGTCGAGGAAAGGCGTGCTATGCTCTCCTTGCGAGTTTGTCCTAGATCCTGGAAAGAAGCAGGTCACGTGGTGTCTTTCTCATTCTATTTTTTTCTCTCTTTCCCTCCTTCTCTTTCTCTCTCTCTCTCTCTCTCTCTCTCTCTCTCTCTTTCTCTTTCTCTCTCTCTCTCTCTGTCTGTCTCTCTATTTCTCGTATACGTGAACGTTTCGGTCAGTTGGCAGGACGACATTGCTTTGCAAGGACGACTGCACGTCGTCGGTGTTTGGCCTAAATCGCAAAACACGCTAGTCATACTACGCGCGACACGTTAATTTCCGCAAATAGAAACACTCAAGCGTTCTCATTCGTAGTTTCATGCTCTTTCCTCTATTTCATTTCAGGATATATTATATTCGAAAATATTCGAATGATTTTTCTCTTTGATTATCATATTAATTTGTTATCGTCAATAACGATCGGTTATTTTTAATATTCCCATTAAAAGATTTACGTAAACGTTAAATAATCATATTTTGATTATTTACAAAATCGATCTCATTCTTCTTTAATAACGTTCATCTCATATTTTGTATTTTTTCCTTGACACGTCAAAATTTTCATTTTATCGATATTAAATTCTATACGAATTTAATCGTTGTCGTAATATTTCCATATACACCGAAGTCAAAAAACAATCGTTCGGTGGATCACTTTTGAACTCGTCCACAAGTATCATAGTACTAGCGAATCTATATTTAAGACAAGAGGAACTTTGGCCTCTTACTGAGCTAGCTCCAATTTTCTTCCCGGAAGAATTACATTTTCTACAACATTTCTATAAATAACAAATTATAGGAAACGAATAAAGAACAAGAAGAAAAAAAACGTTCATTATTTTCATTTATTTTTTATTTCCATTTCGACGAATGTCCGTCGTATTTGTTTAATATTTTCAATAGAACGCGTTGTTTTTTTTAGAAAAGTCTTTATTCTTTCATTGTTCGCGATCATTTTTAAAAAAAAATTTTCTTACAAAAATTCTTCGTAGATATTTATTTTTGTTGTTGTTTTAATCCGGTAATACAAATTCTTATTTTACTTCGTTACGTCGTTACTTGAGTTACTTTACTCGTGAAAAAGAACCTGGCCATGAGAATAGGAGAATTGGTGCGCGCGTGCGCGCGCGCGCATCTACGCGTTGAAATGGGGATGATGCAGTTGGCCTGGATAAAGGTCGGTGGCCGACCTAGCCCCCTAGCAAGTCCGGGACGGCTGGCCGGGGTGGCCAGCCCTGCTTCAACCACCCACTGCTATTGATTTTGTTAACCTTCTATGCTATACCTTCTCTTTTCCTCTCTTACCCTTTTATCCCTCCGCCCTACAATGTGATAACGGATTGCCCGCTATTTTCAATGATACCATTTCTCTTTTCCTCGAGCCCTTCTCTAACATCCCCTTTTTTTCTTCTTTCATTCCTTCTTTTTTTCTCTCTCTCTCTCTTTCTCTTTCTCTTTCTCTTTCTCTCTTTAGAAAAAAAAATAATTGAATTATTAGAAAGGTTGCTTCGTTATGGTTAGCGAATTAAATCTACAGTACTTTCTGTACATTTTTCACACAGGATTCACACAAGTTCTTTGATGATTTTTAAAATCAATTATATACTCTTTTGTGAGACTTTTTACATTGGTTATCATAATTGTAATTTTACTATCCGAATAATAAGATTAGATTTAAAAATCTAGAAAAAATAATAATTGAATTTACTCTTTAGAAATGTAAGATTCAAAAAATATCGTTGGTCTTGATATCATTTTAAGAGCATTGCAGTAAGTGTTTGTTTCCATATTTTGGCGATTACATAAATGAATAATTGATTTTACGTATGTATGTACGTACGCGTGCGTGTTGAATATAAATGATATAAATAAAAACATTTAATATAGATTGTTTGTTCGAACAAAAAAAAATGGATCGTTTAATTTTTCATTATTATTTGAAATCTTTTCTTCTCTGTTAATCTCATCTTATCGTTCTCACGAATAACAGAACCTTCGAAGAGCGAAACTTCTTCTCTTCACTTCCGTGGGTAGAAACATTGAATTCCGTCTCGAGTCGATTACAACGCTCGTGGCTTTTCACTCGGCACAAACTACAATGGCGATGCAGAAGCAATTCCTGTACTATCTATTTTCTTATTATAATTTACGATCCGTACTAGCATTCTTACGCCCACCTAGAGATTTGTTCGGAACGTTCATTAGCGCATACCTACACTTTCCGCTTCGAAAAAGGGATTCGATTTATTTCACCATGTGTAATACTCTGCTCCTAGATAGATATTTATTCATCCAAAGATTTATTTTTTTTTTTTTCCCTTTAAAAATTAATATCTCAACTTAATTAGTTCTAATCAAACATTCATATTAATCCACGATGTAATTGAAAATCAATTAAAATAAAATGAAAACTACAAAAATCAATGTTCATTTTTAATTTACGTTTGTATAATACACGTTAATTTTAATCTTATTAAACAACTATAATAATTTACGATATATAATTTAAAATGTATTAAAAAAACAATTTAAGAAAAAAGAAAAATAAATGTTCATTTCGTTGTTGTAAATCTATGGATATTGTCCCGTTAACACGTATATGCGTATACGTAGGCAGATTACGCGTATCAATTTCTTTGATACGTTAGAACGAAAGGCTATCGTCGTAAAGAGGCGATTTATTCGTAGATTAGAGAACCCTACTTGACGCATTTATACTCGTGCTTGCTTACTTACTTGCTTACTTGCTTACTTGCACGAGCCTGCTGCCGATGGAATCGTAATGCCTTGTATCTGTGCCACTGTGCGAATTGAATTCCAATTACACGCTTGATTTACTTGTTATTCGACCGAGAACTCGAATCGCATCCACGCCGTTTGGCGCCACTCCATCCTCCTTGGCGACGATACACTCTTCTTCTCCTCTTTTCCATCACCTCCTTCTTATATT